TTTGGTTCAGCTTGCATATCAATATCATTAATCATGTTGGCCTATCCCTAAGTAAAGGTCCCAGAGAGGCTATGATTTATATACATTATCAACGAATGATTAGAATTGGCTGTGAAACATCAAGACTCCAAAAGTAACCATGAAAGGTCTTTAATTAGTCTATGATCTTTTGTTCTTTTCACTCCATGTTTTTGGTAGCCAGCATCTGGAGCCGTAAGGCCATCTGGAAATGTTGTAAATGCAGCATTAGCGGTAGTAAGATGTGATGTGTGTTTACAATATAAGTTGAGACTCCAAAGCCAATAACTGCTGGACATTTGAGAAAAGTCCAAGTCCACAGAATTGTGGACTTTTACTAAGCAACAAGAAGTCGACAATGTAGAGCTGATGATGTTCTGGGCTGGTAGTGGAGATTGTTTTATAGACTGAAAATGTGGTAGACACTGCATAACCCCAAGGAGGATTTTGCAGTGGGAACATCACGAAGGTGCTTAGGAGAAAAAGCCTATTGAATGAAGTGCTTCTTGACATGCTTATGTGTGTCCATCTTTTAATGTTTCCATGAGCAAATACTATCAAAATGTCACATCACAACCAGAATCCCAGAAAGTAATCTTCATGAAGTATGGGGAAATTCCCAGGGCCACAGAAAGTCCAGCAGACATTGTGACTGATTCTCCCACCCCCTACCCTACAAACCAGTGCAGGGCTGGGGGCATGGTGCACGCTCAGTAAATCATTGCAGAAATGAATGGATGGCTGCACGCATGCATCCATACTGCAGTCATTTATTCAACAGCAAATTATCTTACTCTGTGCCCATCGTTAAGTCTTGCAGGGATTATACAAGAAACACAGGACATGTGGCCTGGAGACCCTTTACTTCTATGTGCGAACACTGGCAGACATGTGAAACGACCAAGGAAAACAGGAGGTTCCTTAATAGGAGCCACTCCGTAGGATTCCCGCCTCTCTCATTTCCCAGGATAACATTTCCCTCTCTCATTCCCAGAAGATAACATTTCATTTGGTAATAACCAAGTCCTCAGAGAGGTCCTTATCAACCCCTTTAAAAGATCTTTCTCCCAGTTTTCTTCCATTCCTAAAAGAGCATAAGTGGGAAAAAAAAAAAAAAAGGCCCCTATTAATAGTTCTATTGTCCCAGAATTAAAAGAGACCCACCATTCCCATGAAACCATCTGTTCTGTTGGCTTAGATACTGTGGGTGCTTAAAGAAGGAGCAGGGAGTAGGGAGGTGGGGCCAGAAGTCATTTGATCTTTCCACCAAGAAGGGTGGTGTGTGGGGAGGTCGTGATCACTGCTCGGGACTGGTGAATTCTTATCTTGCCAGAAAGACATTTTCCAAAACAGCCTTTGCTTGTTCTGGTACCAAAAGAATAGAAAGCCCAAGAAAATACTTATAAAGAAAAGGAAATAGGCTTAGCGAAAATACCCCAGTTCCCAGACTTTACTTGGCAGAGAAAAAATACAGTGGGGCCAAGGAACCTTCTCCACACCCCCAACATGCCTTTTTTAACCCTCTTTTTTTAAGCTTCAGTCTTAACACCAGATTCCAATTTTAGTGTTGCCCAAGTGCCCCAAACTTTGCAAAGATAATGCCGCATTTGCTTTTCTTTTTCACATTTACGTTTAATGTCCAATCTCTTCTCACCTAATTGTCAGAAGTTAGCCCCCATCTCTTCAGTGCCCCCAGCTATTCTGAAGTGTTCCATATGCCACCCCTGTGTACTCAGGAACAAACCCCCATTTTCCTATCCCAACCTCAGTCCCATATCCCAGCCTCACCCTTTTGCCACCTTATCACTGTCCTTACCCTCTTGAAACTGCTGACCGGCAGGGCAATGCTGCCCTCTGGCAGGGGACTGATAATGCCACCTTCTCCCTTCCCGGTGGTGGCAGTGGTGAGGGACATGGCTTTCATCTTTATCCCTCCTTCTAATGCACAGATATATACAGTTTCTTATCACCAAATGACAGAGTTAAAATTAAACTATGCCTTTTGTTAGGATTTATTGAAATAGCCAGGGCAATAGAAAGAGGTACAATACAGAGAATGGCTTCTAACCACCACATGGGGACAGATCTAGGATCAGTTATCAAGTCAGCTTCTGCCTGGCCTCCCTCCACATGGCCAAGTAAAGCTCATCCCTGCCCCCAAGACTGACTTCTTCCTAGGATGATTAACTTCTTCAGTAAATAGTCATTGAATGTTTTTTCTGCCCCATGCACTATAGTAGGGACAGAAGATATAGTGGGGACAGAAACAGACAAGGCCCAGCCCTCATGGAGTTTAGAGTCTCAAACTGGTGAGGGGTAGCTAAGCAAATCATTATATAATCAAATGTTATTAGTTCAGAGTTGTTGGGTGCCATGAGAAAGTCTAATTGAGGGAGTTAGTCTGAAGAGGGGAAGTCAAATAAGGCTACTTTGAGCAATTGATATTTAAGGTTGGGACTGAAAAGCTGGGTAAGAATTAGCCCAGTGAAGAGCTAGGCAATGGTTTCCCCAGTCCACAGACAACAATGATTGCAGGTGTGAGGGGCCTGTTGGAGAAAGTTGCTTGGGAAGACCAGGGGGGCTCAAGAAAGGAGAGTGGGGGCAGAGTGGTACAGATGAGGCTGGACAGGTAGGCAGAGGAACCATCCCATGTAGGCACTGGAAGGCTTGGCAAGGGTTTCAGATTTACACCAAGTGTAATCAACTGCTATTGAAGGGTTTGGAGCAGCGGTGTGAGTGGCATGTTTTATTCTGTATTTTAAGAACATTGTAACGGCCATGTGGAGAATGAATGGAAGAAGGGAAAGAGGACAGTCATAAGATAGGAGTGACTGTCTTAGTGGTCTAAGCAAGAGACAATGATGGCTTAGACCGTGGCATTGGCAGAAGAGAGAGAAGTAGTCAATTTCACGGATGTCTAGAGCAGAACTGATAGACTCAATGACAGATTAGGTAGGGGGAGCAGGAGGAGAGAGGAGAGTGAAAGTGGAGGGGCCAAGAAGGCTTCCTGTTTCTGGCTTGGGCAGCTGGGCACATGGTCTGATATCTGGGCGCCGATACAAAAGCAGACCATAGTCAGAACATTTCCCAAAGTCTGAGTTACCTGGTTTTAATATTCCACGAGAGAAGCATCAGCAACCCAGGCCAGGGAAAGGCTCGGCAAACCCATTCTGTTTGTCTTTTAAAAAAACTTACAGGGCACTTGGGTGGCTCAGTCATTAAGTGTCTGCCTTAGGCTCAGGTCATGTTCCCAGGGTCCTGGGATCAAGCCCCACATCGGGTTCCCTGCTCAGTGGGAAGCCTATTTCTCCCTCTCCCACTCCCCCTACTTGTGTTCCTTCTCTCACTATGTCTCTCTCTGTCAAATAAATAAATAAAATCTTTCAAAAATTAAAAAAAAAATTTACAACAACTTGGCAATCCAGCCTCACCCATGGCCATGACATCGTATCAGTTTTAGCAGAAAGTTAATTTTGCACTAGGTTTCCTCCCCAAGTAATTGCCAGGATAAGACAGTAATGAATTTTCTTCATTCATTCAAAGAGAAACAATTTATCATAGTGATGGAGAACAGGGCCTCTGGGTTTCAAGTTCACCCTCTGCCACTTAGTAGTTGAGAGACATTGGGCAAGTTCCTTAACCACCCTGTGACTCAGTTGCCTTATCTGGGAAATGGACCTAACTGTATATCTACCTCAAAGACCTTTCATAAGATATAAGTGACTTAATTATCAGTGGTGTATTTCTAACAGGGCTTGGTACATAGTGAATACTCTGACAGTGTTAGAAATTAATACCATCATTCCTCATTAAGCAAGTGTTACTGAAACCTCCCACTTCTCCAGCACTGATCTATGTAAGGAGAATCCTGGGCAGGGTAGAGAGGCACTTTTTAGTCAGCCCCATTTGATTTCAAGTCTCTGCTCTCCTGTGTAATGTCTTTGAACCACATTTTCTCGCCTGAGGCATGAGAGCAATAAAGCTCACCTTGAGCAGTTACTTGGAATATAAAATCAGAAATCCTTGAGCAGGGCCTTGTACATAGTGGAAGCTCAATAAATGGGACGGTCTTTACTTACTCAAAAAAAGCTTCCCTTCCTAATTTAAATAGTGCATCTCCACCTCTGTCACTAAAGACACCCCAGTGAGAGAAAGGTAATGACACACCCTTTCATAGGCTTACAGATTATGAATACAGTTAATGTTTCTTCAGAAAATAGCTTTTTTTGCCCTTTGGTCATGGTATGGAGCTACTTAAAAGACAAAATATGGATGTGGGCATCTTAATCCCGGAGAAAATGTCCTCCAAAGGTTGTTTTAGGTCCCCAGACCATCCACATTTCCCATCACCAGTTGGATCCTTTCCCAGTCCCATAACCCACTTCCTCTTCCTGCCCCTCCCCTACCACCTTGAGCAACCAGAGTGAGAAAACATGAACACCAGCGCACAGAAAACACTCCCGGTTGTCCTGGAAAGCATTGATTGCCTGAGCTTTTATTTTCAAAGCTGACTACACGGCTTCCTTCCACGCATCCTTGTGGGTGGCACAGTTTGCTCCCGACTCCTGCCCCTCCCACCTTCAGTCCCTGTGGTGGCCTTGGGCCCTTGGTGCTCTTCTCTTTCTGGCTCACGTGAACTGTTTGCGTCTTGATATAAAGTTGCCTGAGTTGTCATGTCTTCCCCTCTGGAGCGGTTGCCTTTTAGGACTCATTTCTAATGTAGAATGAAAACTTTGTTCTCTTGAGGGGTGAGTGGTGGATATTCCTGCAAAAGGGTCCCTTCACCTGAGATTTCATTCATCGTCCCCTATGACTGACCCTGAACGGATAATGTGCTATAAAGACTTTCCCTCTAATAGGCTTTTGGGGGACCGTGGGGGGACTATGGCAGGATCCACAAAAAAAAAGTTTAATGTATACGTCTTTCCACAGCAACATGTGAAATGCTCTAATAGGACTAACACCGTGTCTTTGGATTTCAGAGAGCAGATCCGTCAGGGCCTAGAAGAACTCCAGAAGGTCCTGCCAGGAGGAGACACTTACATGCATGAAGGATTTGAAAGGGTAATTTTAAAATTGTTTCCAACCCCAAAGTGTGATAGGGAAACATCAACATAAGGATGGCCGATGAGATAAGACACACGGAACCGAACAACCCCCGAAAGCAAAAAAGCAAAAACAAATTTCCCACAAGCTTGGGCACTGATAACTCTATCCCAGAGAAGGAATTTCCTCGCTCCTTCCCTGATGCCGATAAAGGGCTTGTTAGCTAATGCTTGGCTGACGCTCCTGAATCGTGACTCACGCAAGCCCCCCGGCCTTTCCAAGGTAAACTTTTCTATAGGGTGCATGAGTATCCAGACGGAATGTCAGTGACTTCAGTTATAAGGAAAACAGGCCCTAGTCTGTGAGAAGTAAAGCATGGATCCATGTTCACAAGTACGTTAGGTAAATGTCAAGGTAACTTTACTTGAAGGCCATGCATTGATACCTGAACAAAGCGTAGGTGGCTTACATAAAGACTCATGACTGAGGGGCGCCTGGGTGGCTCAGTGGGTTGAGCCTCTGCCTTCGGCTCAGGTCATGATCTTGGGGTCCTGGGATCGAGCCCCACGTCAAGCTCTCTGCTCAGTGGAGAGCCTGCTTCCCCCTCTCTCTCCGCCTGCCTCTCTGCCTCCTTGTGATCTCTGTCTGTCAAATAAATAAATAAAATCTTAAAAAAAAAAAAAAAAAAAAAGACTCATGACTGAGCCGGCCTTTGTGGTAGCCCCAGAGCCCACGGTCCCCTATGGTATTTCGAGCAGCACACAGTGGCTCTAGGTCTGATGTCTCTTCCGTGTGTTTTTCAGGCCAGCGAGCAGATTTATTATGAAAACAGTCAAGGTAAGACCATAATACAAATTATCAAACTTTTTTTTTTCTGTGTTGGCTCCTGAAAAAGTGCCTCAGTAATTTCACATGATAAAAGATAAATGCGACGTTGTCCATAATCCTCCACACCTCATCACAGGGAAGAAATGGATAGCAAGACGACACATACCTGGCCAAATTCTACTGTCCTGTTGATGCCCAGAAAAGGTTACATAAAAATAATGAGGAACCTATTATGGGCCACAGTCTGTAATGTCCGTGAACAGCTTTGCATGTTGAATTCATTAAATTAATAAGTACTTGGGTAGGTTAATAAAGTCTTGGATATTCTTGTCAAATTTAATTATTTTTGTCCTTCTCCAAGCTCTAATCCTCTTCATTACTATAATTGGATATGATATTAAGATTAAGATACCAGTGTGGCTTAAAGTTGGCTTGATTTAAATGAAAAAAATATATATACAATATACTTAATCTATAGAAAATATACTTTTTATTTTAATTTTAGCTGTTACTACTATTACTACAGTGTCTTTCATGGATCGCCTTTCTTTATCGGAGGCAAATCTTTTGAAAGAGATTCAGTATTACGGTGGGGATTTTTCTCTCAGGCCTGTAGAGGTGTCTGCTTCCTATTTCCCCCTCAACTGTGATAAACAGAACAGATCCAATATTGACACTAAGCTCATTCATATAAACCAACCATCAGCCATGTTACTACAAGTCTAAAAATCACTGGAAGAATTCTAGTAGACTTTTCCAGCTGGTCTAATATCATGTTGACTGTTTCTCCTTGTCCAGTTCTTCAAGGGGTGATTGGTATGGTCAGCTGCAGCCTGTGGGAAAGACTCCCGAACAGCACATGTGGTAGAGTTTCCCCCCAGGCCTTAACCTCAGTCCCACGGACTGTTAATGGAAAATCCTAGAAGTTTGATTCACCGGAGCTACTCCCAGCTATCAGTCCAGTGGCCATTCCAGCAGGCTTGGCCATTTTATTGAGAGAAGACTGAGAAACTCACAAACAAATCCTACTCCCCCCCAGAGTCTGTCCCCACAGATGATGCATTCTTCTTCTTCGTGCTGGAGGTGCTTCTAGTCCCAAACAAAAATTTGTTGGTTCTCATAATATGGACCTCGGGTGGTTGAGCTTATGAGACATCAACCCCCAGGACTGAGAGGGGGTTTCCCTGAGTGCGGCAAGATGGATTGAGTGGGTCTGTGTTGTGTTGAGCAGGATACAGGACGGCCAGCGTCATCATTGCTTTGACCGATGGGGAACTCCATGAAGATCTCTTTTTCTATTCAGAGAGGGAGGTAAGCGATGGCCTGGCCTGTGTCTAACACAGACATGGAAATAGGGCTCCTTCCTCCTGAAATGGGCTGCACTCTTCCTACCCAGACAACATGATAGGTGTTCTTCCTAAAACCTCTGGGTAAAATAGTATTTCATATGTAAAAAATAATAATATTTTTTTTTAAAGTGAACTCTCATATCTTACACACAATCGATGTTTTTCCCCTTTCAAAATATTTGCCTGTTACTCCGTGTTTTAAGGGTTAAAAGTTGCTCACCATGACTTGATTGAAAACACTATATTTACCTAGCAGTTTTGAAATACTGTATATCACGTTTAAACAAAAATGTTGGTGCCATTTTTCCTCCGTTTCTGCCAAAAACAGGAGGGGAAAGAATTACTCGAAATATGCAAGAGCCAGTCTTGTCAAAACATATTAATCATTAAGGTTCTCACTTTGAGAATCAAAGTTGAATATTAATTGGTAGCAAAGTAAAGTGTAATCCCTCCTATAGTATTTCTCCTTCCTTTTCTTTATGTTCTCAAAAAGTCCTCCTTAGAGCAAATGAGAGAATTCTCTCTAAATGAAGCTTCCAGTTTGTATAAAGAGTTTCAGAAAGAGAAGTTTATTCAGGAACTGAGAATTAATGTTTATATTTAGGAAACCCTTTCTTTTCTAGTCTGAGATTTGAGCCACATGTATAATTGGCCCAAGAAACCAGTTCACCATTACTGACAAAGTGACAAAGGCTCCTTCGAGCCAAGTTAGAGAGAAACACAATAAGGAAAAAGATAGACAGTGAGGAAGGAGATGCTGGCCTCTGGGGGAGGAGTTAATCAGAGCATGACCCTTATTTCAAGCTCTTGACTATTATTTGATTTAAATCCAGGTCCCTTGGCATTCATTTATTCATTCATTCATTCATTCGGTGTTAACTGAGAGCTCCGCACATGCTGGACACTTTGCCTAATACTAGGGAAACAAGTGGAGAAGATACGTCTACTGCCCTCATGGTGCTTACCATGTGAGGATGTAGTGATGCTTTTTGAAGCCTCTGCTGGCAAAGGGTGTGAGGAAATGATGTAGGTAAACATACTACTTCTCCCCTACCCGTAATTAGTACAAAATACCATTTGCAATGGAAACACACAAGTAAATGTGACAGACCCTGCCTGAGCATTTGGAAAATAATATATTCTCATATTCTAAAGTTGAAACTAACGATACAGTGGGAACACAGAAGGGCTTATTTTAGGTCCTGAACAACAGTCAAATAAAGTAAAAACCCTAATAAGGAAATAACTGAATATGAAATAAATGATGGATGTCAGAGGCTTAAAATATGGGTTAGTAGAAAAGAATTTTAGGTATGGCATGTACAAACTTGGAAAAATATTTGGAGTGCCAGGGCCAAGAGAAGGAGGCTTTCTGAAAAAGAAAGATAAAGCTCAAGATACATAAAGAAATTAGTCTTTCCATTTTTATCCTATATAAAGCCCAAATAGAGGGAAAGATTCAGATAAATTATTACAGATAAGGCTAGAGATAAACTGTGTCTAAATTTTGTTTTATTCTTAAAGCAGCAAGTGATATTTTTTAAATGAAAGGAAAAATATATATGTTTCTGTTTCTTCTAAAATTCAGTGTTTCAAGAATGTTTCAGTCACACATGGGTTTGAATACTAAAGCCAGGGGTGGAGGAGGAACACAATTCAGATCAATATGCATACACTGAGCACCTACTATGTGTCTATTGTCAATTATTTATTAAGCACCTACTGTATATTCCAATGATTTCCAACTTTTATTTTCTATTCTGAAACACAGAAGAACCTGGAAATAAGACATCAGAGCCTTTAATAAATCAAATATTAAGATCAAGCCAAAACATGGGTGTTATTCATTATGTTGCTCTCTCGATAATTGTAGAGATGGTCATGGGTTCACTTACTCAAATATAGACTGTAATTCTCAGACCATTAAACAGGTATACTCTATGGGAATGAAAAAGGCCTTATTCACAAAGGGTGCTGACATTTATAAGCATCGTGTTGTTCCAGGCCTTGTATGAGGAGCTCTGAGTATGTTATCTCATTGGATCCCCAAACACTTTACAGAGCAAAGCCAAACCTAGGTCTATTGAGTTCCAAAGGCCACATCCTTTCTATTATACCATGCTGTTATTACAAAGAAAGAAAAGTGTGCCATAAAAATTCTTCAGAGGAATGGAATAATTATTTCCCCAGAATATATTTTTGAGATTATTTTTATTTTAGAGAGAGAACAAGCAGGAGATGAGCTGGGGAGAGAGAGAGAAGGGAAAGCATCCTGAGCAGACTCTGTGCTGATCATGGAGTCTAATGCAGGGCTTGATCTCAGCACCCTGAGATCATGACCTGAGCCAAAATCAAGAGCTAGGTGCTGAACCGGCTGAGCCACCCAGGAGCACCCACACCAAGAATATTTAATAGACTTAGCCTAGCTTGCCATTCCCTTTTCCTCCCCTCATCTTTCAAATCCCTTCATCAAGACTCTACTTCTAACACTTTCTCAACCCATCCCGTTAGGCTACTCACTCCCCTCATGTCCCTCATGCATCATGGTAGAATGTGCTGTTTACTGGAGAGTGAGCTCCTCAGGAACAGGGATTGCCCTCTCCATTGTGGTACGTGGTGCATAGTAGGTGCTCAATAAATACCCGATCGTGGAAGTTAGTCTGGTTCCTCCAAAAGGAGTATATTTGCCATTTCTCTGTCTAATGGCTGTTCTCCATTGACCCAGGCTAACAGATCTCGAGATCTTGGTGCCATTGTTTACTGTGTCGGTGTGAAGGATTTCAATGAAACACAGGTATGGATTTCCTCAGGTTTGGGAGCTTGTGAATGATAGAGAACACGTGTATTCAGTGCAGCAGCACAAACACCCCTTAACTAGGTTATTTTTCCATAAATGTTGAGCAAGCAAGAATTATTAGGCGTGTAAGGTACAAGAAGCCAAAACCATGCACTTGGGGGTGGTGAATGCAGACTATCCAGGTGGTATCTTCCTTGGTTAACTTTCTTGGTAGATGTTTAAATTGCCAAGGCATCAAAAGAGATCTGAATAAAATTAAGAAACTTGTTGGTTGTTTTCTTCTTAATTTAATGAATCTAATTTTGCTTAAATCTCAAACATCCCTCTTCTCCTATTAGAAATTCAGTGCATTTTCAATACAAAAAATAAATATAGTTGGCCCTTGGTGCCAGGGATAGGGATATCAGCCCTCCTACACAGTCAAAAACCCCTGGACAGCTTTTGACTCCCAAAAAACTGAACTACTAACAGCCTACTGTTGGCTGGAAATAACATAAACAGTTGATTAACATGTATTTTGTATGTTATATGCCTTATATACTGTATTCTTATAACAAAGTAAGCCAGAAAAAAGAAAATGTTACTAAGAAAATCATAAGGTAGAGAAAATACATTTACAGTATTTTACTGTATTTATTGAAAAAAATTCACATGTAGGTGGACCTGCTCAGGTCAAACCCATGTTATTCAAGGGTCGCGCATACTTGGCAAGTGGGCAAAAAATATGTACAAGTATAGATATGCAAATTGTGAAATTTTGCTAACAACCTATATAAATGTTCCTCAATGTAGGTCATCATTTCTTTTTGTTTTAATGACATGGGACAATTCTTATGATACCTTATTAGGTGAATAAAATTGGGTTACAAAAACGTGGGAATAGTCTGAGTCCACTTTTAAAATAAATGTGTGTATTTGAGTAGGGAAAGTATGAAAGACTACATAGTATATCAGATTAATAAGAGAAAAATGGTAGGTGGGTGATGGATGGATAGATGACAGATAGATGTATAGATAGATAGATAGACATACAGATAGATGAGTAACTTTTTCTCTTTTTAACCCTCCTGGGTGTTCTGAAACTTCCCATTGGTTATGTGTTACTTTTGCAAGCAGGGTAGGTCGTGGCACTGACCATGACTGTGACAGTCCCAGAACTATGGATTCGGACCAGAAAAGCCCACAGGTCAGACTCTTCTTTCTCCTGTCCTCTCCTCCATAAAGCAAGAGAGCGAAACTAATTGCTCTCCTCAGGGAGCAATTTGGGCGAAAGTTAAGGGGCTCCATTCATTGGCCTCGCCCAATACCAAAACTTATACTTATTTTTAAAGTGACTCTGAAAGGAAACCTGAGTCTGTTCGATTCAAATACAGTTGCCAACAGAAATTTGAGTGAATGGGAGAAAAATGAGCCAATGGCCTGCCCCCAGATCCATAAATACATCAACCCAGGCCAAATGTTCATCTAGCAGAGCAATCTTACCTCTGCTCCAAGGAGAAAAGTATTAAAACAAATGTAAAAGCTGGACCCGCCCTCTAGGCCTACTCCAGAGAGGTCACTGGTAAGCTCATTATTACTGAGGGCTTTTCAGTGAGGCCCAAGCCCTCTGGTTCCTCTGTGTTCTAAAGGTCGATGGAGTCCCCTGGACTCCCCCATTCTGTGCAGCCAAGCCTGACCCATCTCCATGTGTGTTTGTGTGTTTGCTCTGTTCTCAGCTGGCCCGGATTGCAGACAGCAAGGACCATGTGTTTCCTGTGAATGACGGTTTTCAGGCTCTGCAAGGCATCATCCACTCAGTGAGTAGAGCACTTCCTCTAAAACTGGACATTGGGTACTCTCTGTCCCCCACCAATCCACTAAAAATTCTCTAGTCCCCTCCCCCTAAGGCTGGTGTTCTCTGCTTGCGACAGCATTCCTTTGTCTCTCTTTGTTATCTTTCATGTCCCACTTCTCCCTCCTTGCCTTCCACATATGTTTCTTTCTTTGTTCTCCTGGGCCAGTTTTGCCCCACAAGGTAAATTTAAAATGGAAGGGACCTTGCTCTGGCAGCAAGCCAAACTCCAGATGGTTCCAGCTCTCATACTGGAAACACTGGCTGATGGTGTGCACCTGACCTCAGCTTTTCCAACCATGACTGAATGCAAGTTTCCTTCTAGAACACTGGCAGGCTCTAACTTTATCTCTTGACCATCAGAGGGGCTTTCAACCAGTGGTTCTTTACCAAGGCTGCCTACTGAGGTCATCTGGAGCAGAATTTTTAAGACCTTCCCAGAGGACTTTACTGGAACACAGCTTTAGACCTATAGTCCCCAAATAGGAGGAAATCACTGTTTTTCAGGGTTTGCGGTCAGCCATTCCTTCTTTCCATCCAGCCTGGGTTGAATGAAACAATCCCTCACATACAAATGGTTTTTTTAGTCCCCCCCTTTCCTGTAAGTGAACAGGATCGGCCTCTCTTCTTCACCCTCCATACGTAGGCCAGATCCTTGGTCCAGCCAGCATATTGGATGACGCTGGTCTTTATTTTATTTTATTTTATTTTATTTTATTTTATTTTATTTTATTGGTGCTGGTCTTTAAAGTCCCAGCCAGAAGGCCAGTATGTGTGCTGCACCTATGATGAAATCCAGAAGCACTGTCTCCTCTACCTTTAGGTTTTGTGATTAGGCAGATGGCCAACAGTTTCTCCAGTGGAAGCTCACCAGGCCCCTGACTCAGGGTCCAGGATGCGAAGTCAGAGCTCAGAAGGTCACTGTCCCCTTCAGATGTCAAGGGGGTCTTAATCCAGGGGTTTCCAGCCAGACCTAGGATCTGCCCAGCTCCCCCAGTCTGACCCAGGAAACCTCCAGTGTGGCTGTACTTTCATGCCCCCTCTCACTCCCTCTAAGCTTTGCTGAGAACTCCTGCAGGGTGAGAAGAACTTTGGAGCTGGTCATCCCAGAATTTAAATGCTGGTCTGATGACTTACCATTTATAGATCCTTGGATGAGTTATCTCACTTGTTTCCTTATCTGTAAGAAGGTATTGATAGTAAGACTTATATCACCAGCCTGTTTGAGGATTATAAGAGATAACACTGGTGAAATTACTGAATATTTTTCCAGGTACATGATAGGTACTCAAGACATAGGAATTACCTCCTCTTTCACTTTCCTTTCCAATCATATAATGGACATTAGTGTCAGTTTCCTCCAATCCTCTAGATTTTCTTGAATATACTTAAAAATCACCTGGGAACCTTACTTAAAATACCAGTTCCCAGGCCTTATCCCCAGAGAGTCTATTATAGACAGTATGAGATGGTGCCTAGGAATCTGTCTTTTAAATCTGTTGTGTTTTTGGTTTTGTTTTTTTTTAATGCCCCAGGCACACTTTCAGAATATGATATATGTGACCTTCAGTTTCAGAGTTGTGAAAAATAATCTCACCTCAGTTTAGGAACTCCTACCTTAAATATGTCCAGACTCAAAAGGTGTTTATTTACGAGGAACAGAAACCAACTCAAACTGCTTTCACCAGAGAGTGGAAATTATTGAGAGAGAATTATCAGTCCCAATACTAGATCCCCAGGTGAGGGACCTTTGTTCCAAATAACGTCTGGGATCAGTGTGGCCTACTTGACAACATAAGCAACAAGAACTGCAGGGAACATAGAAAGCAATACCCAAATGGTGCAAAACATGATTCAGGACTGATCATGAAGCTCAGAGGTAGATTTCTTTGGGTTAGAGCCTTTATAAGAGAGTGGGACATGAAATCCATGAAAGACTCGGGAGGAGTGATGGGTAGCATCAGGGAAGAGATGACATGACCCCAGCCCAAAAGCTGGAACAGGGAAAAGCATACTCTGAGGACAATAGCAATAATGCCTATCTGTCTGGGGGGAGAGTTTGGTGAAAACTCAAGAGTGATAAGAAACAAGCCTAGACATTTGTTTGGAACCAGACTGATAAGGGCCTTGAAGGGGTTTTGATTCCAACTTCGTGGGTGTAATCACTGAAACATTTGGAACATCTAACAAGTGATAGTTGAGAAGAGAATCAGATGGTGGTGTCCACATACATAGGAAGAAAAATGGAGGGGGTCTAGAGGCATGAGCCTACTGCTGCATGAGTGCACAGTCTTGCCTTCAGATGGCCGATTCTGAACAGGGACGACTCTTACCTGTTCCAAGATCCTTAGGAGCCAGGTACCCACATCATCCAAGAGGCAGTTCCTACGCAAATAATCAGAATCATTTTATCTGCAGAAACCAGTGTTGTCCTTGAATATTTCTATCTTAGCAACTCACCCAAGCTTGATGTGAGGCCCCCCAAGATGTTTAGAAAGCTCTTCCCACCCCCAAATGGAACTAACTCCAAAGATGTCTAAGGAATTTCAGCAAAATGGTCTCCCAAAAACTGGGAAAAAAATAATAATTTGAGAGTCCTGTCTCCAAACTTGAGCTGAATGATAACAGTCTTAGGAGATTTTATCTGAGAGTTATGCTTGTGGTTGCGATCCTTCCAGCACTTGAAACCCATGTTTATGGCAGTTGTTAATTCATTTGCTTGGACAGAGAAGCAGGGACAAGCACAGCAGGGTTCATCTTTCTCAAGTCAGACAGAAATAATTATGACCTAAAGTTGGCTATTTTTAAGAAGTAGGTTCATTTCTCCTCTGGATACTGAAAAGAAAGCTCTTGTTTTTTTCGCCCGCCATCTGAAGCATCTTTTCCAGCTTGTTCCCACGGATGTTGTTTTGTGGCTGGTGATTTTCTCATAATAAAACAGGACTGGGCTTAATTATCCCAAATAGGAGTACGGAGCAGCTCTCAACAAGCTCAGATGGTTCGTCAGGTTTTCAGCCCATAGTGACCTTATGTTTAAATCCCAAATCAAGATGCGGGAGCGAACATTTGCTCTTTTATCCAGTGCTCACTGGAAACCTTACATACAAACCTTGCTATTCAGCTACAAGTAAAGTGATGGAGACCCTGGCCTGGTGGAGGTTATAGTCTCATGGGAGGGACACATAAAAATGAGTAAATAAATAGATAATTAAAACTGTGATAAATGGTACAAAAGTGGCAACCAACTACCAAGATTAAGAGTAAAGAGATTGACACAGAGTTCAGGCCCCTTTGCAGACATGACCTGAAGAAGGAAATCAGACCATCCACTGGAAGAGCATGGACAGAACATTCTTGGCAGCGAGCAGCCCTGTGACGGAGCATAGCAGAATGAAGGAAGAGCACCACCGAAGTGGGGAATGGCAGAAGATGACGTCAGGAGGCAAGCAAAGGCTTGGCCTGGAAGGCTCTTTTACTCGAAGAATGGTGGGAACCTATAGCCAGATACAAAGTCTGGCCATAGAACAAGGACGCTTGAAATTCAGGCTCTCGGGGAATGGAGAATTGTGCACTTGATCTGTTTCTCCTCCAGGTAACAAATCCATAAACCCTCAGTATCAATAATCATGTTGGCCCAAAGAAGAAAAATCACATTGACTTGTGGACCATCTTCTATCCACCAACATTTCTGCTAGGCTCTGCCACAACCACGGTCTCCAGAAGGTCTTATCCCAGTGTTCCAGGTGAGGAAGCTGGGGTGCAGGCCCCTCAGAGAGACTGCTCTAGTCTTTCTACTCGTAATGGTCAAGTGGGGAATTTGAACCGAGACCTGGTTCCCGAGATCCTCTTCTTTGCATAGTACTCGGCCGAGAATGTCTGAGGAAATGGAAAATCACGGCTGGTTGTCCAGGGCCTGGATTCAGCAAATCCCAGAATTCTCTGCTTCCACAAACTGGTTCCTGTGTTTTGGTCTTTTCACACTGTTCCCCAGCCCTCCGTAGTCTAAGGGAGAAGTACTTATGTGTTGCATTTGTATAATGCATTATTTTTCATGGCGTTCTCATTGTTTCCCATTTCAGTCTCAGCAGCAGGACATAGGGAAAAGGCAGAAAGAAATCAACACCTGTGTGGGACACCTGCGTGGCTTAGTCGGTGAAGCACCTCTTGATTTTGGCTCAGGCCCTGATCTTAGGGTCGTGAGATCAAGCCGGGCATCAGGCTCTGTACCCAGGGCAGACTCTGCTTGAGATTCCCTCTCTCCCTCTGCGCCCCCCACCCTGCCAACTCCCACCCACTTGCTCTCTCTCAATAAATAAACAGAATCTCAAAAAGAAAGAAAGAAAGAACTCAACCACTGTAGATTACAGCTGTATTTGGGACCAAATGTTGTTCTTTGATCCCGATGAATATAATCCCATTTTAGCATCATAACAACCCTATGAAGAAAATGAAGAAAGTATTCCTATTTTACAGATGAAGAAACTGAGCCTCAGGGAAACTTCCTGAGAGCACACGACTATAAGGGGTGACCCTGGGCCTGTGCTTTCTCCTACCTCTAGTTCCATAGGAAGGTAAAAATAATAAAAGCTACCATATCCTGAGTCCTGAGGTTCTGGGCTGTGCAGATCATTCTACGTGGGTGTCTCATTGGTGTCTCATGACCGCTCTTTAGTGTGGATATTGTCATCCCTTCTACAGAAGTAGGTACCCTAAGGACAGAGATCCATTAGCTTGTCCAAGGCCACATGGCAGGGAGCGGCGATCTGGAATAGACTTCACTGGGTCGCTGATGCCCACGATGGGAATGACCATGGTGCTCTACTCAATGATGTGGGGAGGCCAGGAAGCAGCTCCATTTCAGAGAAGGAGACCCTGGAACCAAAAGTGTGAAGTGGCTCGATGCCGTTCACATAGGTACAGCAGAGGTAAAGCCAAAGCCCATGTGGTCTGCCCTCTGGGTGCCCA